TCAAGCCACGAATTACAATTGCTTAAGAATGCTATGTGCAGCATATTGAATCATTCAGGAAGCATTACAAGAAGATAGAAGGAGTATACAGAAAGCTGGACAATTACTAAGGATGGCAGAAGAAGAATCAGTGTCTTTGAGTTGTGGTGCTGGAGAAGATTCTTGAACTTACCATGATAGACCACCACGAGAACAAACAGATCTGTCCTAGAAAGGGTGAAACCAAGCTGCTCCTTGGAGGCAAGGATTTTAAAGCTCTGTCTCACATACTTTGGGCACATGGCCAGGAAGGCCAGTCCTTGGAGAAGGACATCATGCTGGGAAGGGTAGAGAGACACCTCAGGAGAGGAAGACCCCAGATTAGGTAGATTGACACAGTGACTGGGGATAGGTGAAACAGAGTCAGTGGGAGCGGCTCAGAATAGAGCAGGCTTCAGAGTTGTTGAATCACAGGCAACTTGATGACAAACAACAACAACAACAACTGTTAAATAAGCCGATGACTGCCATGAGTTGTAATTGATTCATTAGCACCTAACAATTTTTAATCAGGAACAAAGGTGCTAGCTTATTAAGATAATAGAAAGATAATTCTACACTCTGGAGATAGGAACTTTAGAATGTAACTATTGTTTTGAGGATTGAGGAAACAGAAGGATGAAACAGGAGTTATTAAAACTTAGTGACTTAAAGGAGAACCCTCAAGAGGGTGAAACTCAGATCTGTAAGGATGGCATCATGGTCAGAGCTGAGCTTGGAGGAGGGGGACGCACAGTCAGACTGAACTTTGGAGCAGAAAGCACCTGCTGGTGTTTCCTGGGATGTGTATGTGAAGATAATGAGTCTGGTCTCACACATACTAGAAAGCCTGCAAGCCAGATTCAGCTGCTGGGTCAGGAATGAACTGCTATTGGTGGCGTGAAGAAGCTAGGTGATAGTCACAGGGACAGCAACTGGACAGGAAGCCACAGCAACTCAAGAGGAAGCACGTGGAAAGCAGCCAGTCTTCTTCCTCTTCTCTTCTCTTGTTCCTTTTTTTTTAAAAAATAATTTTAATGAACATTTACAGAGATTTTGGATTTCTATTCATTCATTGCTGCACTTTCCTCTTGTTCCCTTAGCGCCCCCTACTGGCAAAGTCTGAGATGACAAAGCTGAACTGTGCTGTGGTGTCCCTGGATCACAAAGCAGGGTGTATTATTGGATACCTGAGTATGACCCATAGTGACCCTACAGACAACAGATCTGAACTCTATGCCACCCT